ACTATCCTATCTCTACAATAAAGGCACAAAAAGCCCAAAAATAAATCTTTATAAAAAAAAAAGATATAATGGTAGGGGAAACACTGATCACCCATTATTGATCAATTTTCCCTTACTCCTAAATGTTTTTTCATTATTGATGCATAAATGAGGCCCCTGGAAGTAAGTGTGGATTTTTAAAAGGCACTGCAGTTGTTGAAGGGCAAGCAGGAGTCTCCAAACAGCCCTGAACTACTACAACTACTTATCACACATTTATTTTTACTTACTTAGTTTGTTGGCTCTCTATCAGCTCTCTTTAATTTAATCTCATTGTTTATGTGAAAAGATAGAGGATGCATCGCATCTATTTAATCTATTTCTGTGTTGATTCCTCCCTTTATATAGAACGTTTCATTTACTAGAGTTTATCAGATGACCCCTGCTGGACAACAGAGTTAAAAATGTAATGCAATAATATGTTGTACAGTGTATATATCAGAACCCATAGACTTGAAATAAATCCCATTTTCATCAGTATGTGACCATATGGATGGACTTTTATGTAATCTGTGCGATCTTTTTAATTTGATGAAGTGATGCTCTTTCACCTGGACTGTTCATCAGTGTGATGTGTGTAAAGCTTACATTAATTTCTCATTGAGTTAGAATGCAGTCTAACCACACAGTTAAGATTTAATGGTTTTTGTGATATAGTCTCTGAAATAGTTCATACATTTGTACCTATAATGTAACATTATAAACGCCATTTTTGGCAATAAAACAAAAAGTACGAGCTACCAAACTCCATTTAATCTACGCACTCAATGATAGTGATGATTTTGGTGACGATGATGATGGTGTTAGGGAATCACTGATTGATGTGAATCATAGTGTAAGCAGGTGTATTCCCTTGTTTTTCCATCTGTTTGACTTTAAGACTTTACATTTTGGACCTCTTATCCAAAATCATTCAGCTTTAACAACATAGAAAGATGCATTAATGGGTTGTGTAAGAAATGAATCAAAGCTTTTACCATGTGCATATGTGTCTTTCATTTATGTAAAGATAACAAATACATTTTATCATTCTCTTGATGCATAAAAAAAAGACCTCTGACACCCTTCGTTGTGACTGTATCTGACCGACTGTGACCCCTCCCCAGGCGGCCAGTCTGAGACAGCTTGAAGAGGAGAACCATGATGCGGCAGCTCGTCTGGAGGAGGTGGTTTACCATGGAGATATGCTGCTGGAGAAGATCCAGAGCCGCCCTGGCTGACATCGCCCAGTCTCAGCTCCGCACCCGCAACGGTGCACCAACCCCGGCATCGCCAGCCGAATCCTGACCCACAATGTACATAATGCAGCTCTGGACTCTTTCAGTCATTGTGTTCTTTATTTTTATCCTGAGACATCAGCTGTTAATCCCCGAAGACTCAAAAATACGCTGAGAGTGAATGAAAAGGAAATGTGAGATGCCAGACAGTTAAACAATGAAACTGTTTTTTTTTGTTGCACATCAGCCAAGGGCCTCGAGACAAACTCACTGAAAGAAAACTGAACGTGCTTGATGTCAGCTGAAAAAGTATGCGATGTCATCTTCAGAAACACTGATTTCTTTGAGGAACTCTCTACTGAAGCAGAAAGTTGTGTCAAAACTGTCTTTTTTATGTTCTATGTACAGTTTATGTTTTATATTGAATACGTCTGTTTTTGTGGATATCTTGGAATTAATTTCTCATTTGGAGCATCTTCATCCTCCCAACAATGTTCAACACAGTTTAAAAACCGCTCAGTTTATTGTACATTAATATGAATTAAGTCTTGTTTGTCCATAACAAAGCTTGAACAAACTCATTTGGTCCAACCTTTTGTATCTTTATGTTAGCTGATGTTTAGTTTCACAGAGTTGTTTTTCCTACATCCTTTAATTTTTTTATGTTATTAGAGAGATGAAGCAATTACAAGTGTTTTAATCCTGGAACATGCAGGATGTTTATTGTTGATGTTAGTGGGGAAAAAGCTCATCTGGATACTTCTTTGTAAAAAAAAAAAACAACAACTACTAAACTCATTTAAAATCCATAAAACTTGTGTGGATGAATATTGTCTGTGTAGGTTCTCAGGTTTCCAGGTCATGGTAAATGTGAAGGCAACTGGACTAAAGCTAGTTGTAGATTTTGAAGACGTTTCACCTCCTCCGAAAGGCTTCTTCAGTTCTAAACTAACTGGTGGACGTATCTACAAAGACCCAGTCCCAGTCCCACCTTGGGACATGTGACCCCCAACGACCCACAGACGACCAGGAAGGTTAACATCTCCAGGCGAAACTCGGTCAACCACTCAGCTAACCCTCTCTGATCATTAGCATGCTAATGATGATGCTAATGAGGCTTTAATGTCTAGCTCTGTCCACCAGTTTGTGTAGGACTGAAGAAGCCTTTCTGAGGAGAGGTGAAACGTTTTCAAGATGTTCAACCAAGTCCAGTTGACTTTGGATAAAGCTTCGAATGTATGATTATTAATTATTTTATTTTCAATCCGACCTCTCTTCCGGTTTTAAGGAAAGGACATGTCTCTTTGACCTGCATCATTCTTACTATTAACTGGTAATTAATGACTTAAAATAAAAGCCTGTCCCAATTTTTGGCCCAGTTTCTCTTTCTAGCCAGAGGCCTCTGTACATTTAGTGTCGAAATAGTTTGTGGTTAAAAAATGAAATGAAAGATGAACTATAATATATATATATATATATGTCCAAAAAAAACACAATCATGTTTGTGTATGTGTGAAGGCAATGAAGCAGGTTTACATGCTGTTTTACAAAGCAATAACAAACTAGTGATTTAATTAATTTGATTGTTTATTGTCTCATTTTGTACACAGTTAAGTCGCCTAATCTTTCTGGTGTAAATATACAGTTTTATTGTCTTTCCCATCTTTTCTTTGAACAAGTTTTGTTTGAAAATAGTTCAAAGTCTGTCCCCAAATAAAGGCAGGATCATTTCATAGACTTATGTGAATAAAGGTCTACGCTATTAGTAGAAGTTTTAAACTAAGTTGACACTCTTAAAATGTTTAGAAACTAATCTCTTATTATAGGGATAGGGGGATTTCATAGGGAATGTCAAAATAGCTTGGGGAAACATTGACGTAAAGCAACAAATTAGGGAAGTGAGTAGCTGAAGACCTAAAGATAAACCTAATGGGAACCTTAGACTAGAAAACTGTAAAGACCAATTACAACTGGATACCAAACACCGTTTCCCAGTGTAGAAACCAGTAAAACAAAAACTAATCATCCATCTGACCTACAACAATAAAATGTTGTTTCTAGATGAATTCGTCTGTATTTGGCAGAGTTTTAGGTCGAGTTGTAAAGGCCAGCCTTGTCACTTGACATTTAGCTGTTTTTTGGGTTGTTTCCTTTCCAGAAGCAGATTTATTCTGCTCGAATTCTGAAAACCTGAGTTTAACCTACATGGTATGTCGGGACACATCCTGCATCTCTAAGTTGCAAAGCACATGCCGACACTATTTCTGAAATATTAAAATGATAAGGAGCTCATCTTCATCTTTTAATAGTATGTGGAAAATGTTGTAACTGTCGTATGTAATACAGTTAAGTGACAATTTTAAGGTTCAAGTAAAAGATTTGGACCAATCAGATGCTCAGCAGGGTTCTTGAGTAAAACTCAAAACACATATAGGCCTACCACTGTTTGGGATTCACTGTTTAGATGAATTTAGATTCAGTATGAAACATTTGAATATTCTAGATATCAAAGATGATTTTTTTGGTGAGCGGTTGGGATGTATTTTGTCCTCTTTTGGCCAACCCTGGCACTTAAAAAAAGATTTAGTTTCCCAAATGTCTGTGTTTTTAATACACCAAATAAATAAATAAATAAATAGTATAGATTTAGGAAAAGCTGAATATATTTTCAAGTATCCCAACTGGGATTTTTTTTAATAGAGGAAATTAGTCAGTTTCCTCTGGAATTTCTAAATGTCTTATGTTTAAATGCGAAAATATAATCAGCAGCATGTAGTTTCTACAATGATCCCATCTTACTACTTTTGTCAAACAAGCATCAGTCATCTTGTCTTGTTCCAGCAGAGGAACAAGTTCACACCTTTAGTTTAATCACGTGAGCACTCAAGTTTTGTTCAACAGTCCATGAGTAATTTTTACGTGTCTGCAAACTCTCTGCTCTTCAAAGGTCCATAAGAATGTTATTATGATCACTTTTTAGCACGGCAAGTTTGAAAACGAAAAGCCAAAGACCTTTTCGTTTTCATTTGAATTATGTCATACAATATGCATACATAGAGAGCAAAAGTATAATGCAAACTGGATGACTGAAGATTCATTTTAAATATAGGTCAAATAATGCACCTACTGTATATTCTGAAAGTTAAAACGTGTTTTTTTTTTTACTGTATTTTCATTTTTAAAATTAGCTTTTTCATTTGAATTATGATACAGATTTAGCGGGGCATTTTTTTGAGAATGATAAAGCAAATGCCATTTTCTTCCTCATTATAATTTAGTCAAAGAATGTGCATTTTTGAAGTTGAAAACTCAAAATTAAAATTAGATAAATTAATCATCATTTTATTTTTGAGTCAAATAATACGCTCATATTCTGAAAATTAAAAAGCATTTCTGTTAATGCATTTGAATTTTCAAATTAGCTTTCATTTGATCACTAATCGCTTCCACAATCTGCCAAGTAACCATCCGGAAATAGCCTTAAATATTATGTAACTGTTGTGGGCGTATGTTGGCTTGAAAACCCCTTCTGAATATGTTTAATTAACATTAAACAATTACATTAACACTCGTAAAAAGCAAAAAGCAGTGGAATTGGCATAGCTTTGACGTGGAGCGAGGACATGAGAAATATGTATTACGACGTTTGAGTTTTCCCCTCTTTACAGTCTATGGTTTTTTCCCCCCTCCTAATCCTGTTACGTAACACTTTGTTACTAGTCGCAAGTCTCGCGTTGTTTCGCTCATGGAAGTGTCAGAGTGTCAACAACGGACAGGCAGCAGCAGCAGCAGCAGCGCGGCAGCACTGTCCGGAGCAGGGAGGGGGGAGTCAAGAGGCTGTTTAATCGTCGAGTGAGTAAAATCACATCTCGGATTACATAACGTTTAATGAGATATATCGTGAAACGTTTTCAGTCAGGGTCCCGCGGCATGATATGGCTGCAGTGTGACAGGGCTTCGTTTACAAGCAAAGCTTTATTTAGCAGTAGCATGCTAACGTTGAGCTATTTGCGTGAAGTGTGAACGCAGAGCTCGGTTAGCAGCTAGCGTTAGCATGGCTAGCGATGTTGTGACTGGTGGCTTCAGTAACATTTCGCTTTGTGAGGCGTATCCGTCCGCACTCAGTCTATATTTAGTTTAGTAATGGTAGCCTACACATTCGTTGTAATGACACAGCTGTCACTTTCTCAAAACTGTTTTTTTTTCTATGCGACCGCGACAAAGTTTTGCGAGTTAAAGGCCCCTCTGTCTTCATGTCAGAGCTTGACAGACAATTTCCCCTCCTGGTCAACCTGTCCACCATCCTTTACCCAAGACATTTAGCTAGCTACGTAGCCGAATCGACCTCGACCACGGTAGTCAGCCAATGACCTGACACTGTAAGGTAGGTTGCATGGTAGCGTTAGCTTCCTGTGACCCTGCTGCTTCATCATCGCCCCCTTTAAACGCGAGTCCTCGATTATCCTCCACCAAGACCCGTGCAGATGCTTCAAACAGGCCAACATGCCCGTGCCCTCTCAGTCTAACCAGCTGTCTGTTGAGGATGTTTCACCCTGTTTTCTACCACATTGGTGATGGTGTTAACCTTTTCTTTATGGCGCTAAACGGATGGTAGTTCTCCACAGACACTTCATGTGGAATAACGCCCCACGTAGACACTGTACATTACAACACAAGCTGACCTGCGTTAATGATAGGCATTGAAACTGGAATATTTTGGTGTTGTCTACAAATCAATTGTGTAGATCAATAAATAGTTCCTCTATTAAAACATTAGGCATCAGTAATCCGTTATGAGTACAATATTTTGTCATTGTAACTTCAGCATCAGCTGTTTAATAGTCTCTTAATGCATAAATGGATAATAACAATAAAAAAAGATGCTCTGTTCTTTGCTCTCTTTTGCAGCATACTTGTCTGAGATGGGGGATGATCGACCTTTTGTATGCACTGCCCCTGGATGTGGGCAGGTATATTTCCTCAACCTGATTACTACACATACGCATCTAGACAACACTCTCCTCCACTCTTTCCTTTGACAGCTTTTAGCATCGAGGCCATAAATCAGTAACCTTTATTTACCTTTTTCATTAGAGCTACATTGGCACACTGTTATTCCGCTTACACCCATCTTTAAAGTCAAGGTTCCTTCACATTTGACTTCTTTTGTTGTGCCATATCTTACTGCATCAAGAGCAGGTGTTATTGGTCATCCCACAAGGTTTTTTTTCGTTTAGTTTTTTTTAAATGTTTTTTGTAACTTAGCAACAGCAGAGTAGACACACTGATACTACACTGTTGTTTGATATTGTATGCTGTTGTTTTTTCAGAGATTCACAAATGAAGACCACCTGTCAGTTCACAAACACAAGCATGAAATGACATTAAAATTTGGCCCTGCCAGAACAGACTCTGTTATCATTGCAGGTAATAACATTGCAATCAGTGTTAGAATGTGTTAAATTAAATTCTTTTAAGGAGTCAGTACAATTGTAAATATCATGTTATTGTGTTCTAATGGGATGTACAGAAATTCTCTGTCCAGTAACCTTTTGGACTTCAATTTTTCTTTTTTTACAGATCAGACCCCTACACCCACACGTTTCCTTAAGAATTGTGAGGAGGTTGGTCTGTTCAATGAGCTGGCCACCTCCTTTGAACAGGAGTTTAACAAAGCACACGATGACGAGCAAAAGACAAAACACCCGGTAAAAAAAAAAGGACAAATGTATATTTACAATGAACGTAACACAGTTGTTTTTCCCTGTTTTCAAATCCACTTTACAGTATTTTAGCTGCACTGATTTTAATTATCTCATCCATGCTCTTAGGCTGCACCTTTACAAACACCATCTGAAGTAAAAGATGAGGATGAGGGGCCTTTACAAGTCGATTCCTCCTCTCCTGGAAGTCCAGATTCGTCATCCAGCATGTCAGATGACAGCATGGACTCAAGGGTGAGAGGCAAGGTACATGCAGAAAACTTTCTTTGGTCAACAAGCTGGTTTATAGATTGGCTTTTTATATAAACCATGTGCTTCTTGAACATGGAAAATCTGTTTTCTGTTCATGCGGACCAAACACACCCATTGATGGAAAATAAATTCAACTCTTTGATTTGTGTACAGGAGATCCCAGCAAAGCCCGTGGCAAGCTCTGCTCCAACTCCAACCATTGTGCGTCCAGTTTCTCTTCCCCTTCACCTGAGTAATGACTCACTTCATCCAACTCTGCCTTCTCCAACATCTGTCATCACGCAAGCTCCACCCTCCAACAGACAGCTCGGGTAAACCACTTAGTGTTTTAGTTGTGTGCATGTTTGTTGGCGGGGGGGCGGTAATTGCAAAACATCTCGAAACTCAAGTTTTGTACAAAAAGTTTAAAATAAAAGTTGACCTAGGGGCTTTCACCTTGTCTCCGCAATATAATACAATGATAAAATACAATAATAGTATATATTATTCCTGATTAGTATTAGGTTTTGCAAGACCATCTCTCTCTCTTCCCTCTTCAGGAGGTCTCCAGTGTTTGTATTTTTTCAGTGTGGTGCTACATTTAACAGTCTGTAAAAGTGACCAATGAAATAAAATAAAAGTAGGGCACCGGAATATTAATGCCACACTCGTCAATATTGGCCTGTTGCTTCTGTACGGCACTCTGCTAGCAGTCATGGCGGAGGTTTCACAAAAGGAGGCTAAAACTTCAAATTTCCATTCAGATTGGGAAGAGGAATTTATTTTTTTATTTTGGTGAAAGACAAGTGTGCATGCATGCCACCAAACACAAGCATTTTCAAAAGGAGAACATTTTGAACAGCACGACTACACCAACCCCCTGAAATTCAAAGACTGCTGCCCCCCAAAGGGAAAATTGATGACCCAGCCTAACGTACTGGCACCTGAAACACACAGACGGCACAACCAGAGAAAACAAGCAACTGCTCGGTTCGTCACAGCTAAACAAGGCTCCCACTGAAGCATCTTTTCATATTTGCCAACTTTTAAATTAGCACAAGAAGCCTTTAGCAGATGGGGATTTACTCAAAGAAGCAACTGCCATCAGCGCAGAGACAGTTTTCAGTGACTTCAGAATAAAAGACAACATAAATACCGCTCTATGTGGTGAACCACTTGCCCCTGCAACTGTGACAAGGAGGGTCGATCCACTGTCGGAGGATGTGGATCTATAAGAGGCTTGTCCCTCTGTGAATAATTTTTCTTAACAGTTTGATGAATCCCTGGATGTATTGGACACAGCCCAGCTTGTTGTATTTGTCAGGATAGCTATAGGATTATACCACCAAGGTCCTCACTCTTTTTCACGTAAAGGAGAGAACGAGAGGTTTGGATGTTTGCAATGAGTCCAAAAAGTTTGTCCATCAAACTAGTTATCATTGCAACTGATGGGCCCCAACAATGCGCAGTGTGAAGACAGGTTTCTTGGTGATCTGTTGTAATGACCCAGATTTGTCATGTATTATCACTGTTATCCATTGGCAGGCCTTGGTTGGCAAAGTATTGGACTTTTCCCGTGTAATGACGCTGGTGGTCAAAGTGATAAACTGTATAAGACCAGAAGCACTTCAGTGCTGCTTATTTAAGGCGTTATTGGATGAGCTTGATGCCGCCTATGGAGGCCTACGTCTTTATGCTGATGTCCGGTGTTTGAGTCGCGGCGAAGTGTTGCAGCAATTGGTTGATTTGCTGCCTGAGATAAAGATTTTTTTTTACAGTTTCACGAGGAACTGTCAGATGATGTGTGGCTACTGGATCCGGGGTTTTTGACCGACTTAACGGCAAAACTTAGTGCACTCGAAAACGAGCTGCCAGGGAAAAGGCCAACACCTGCCACATGGATGCTTTTCACCCGGAAGTAGTAGTGTGCCTGTCTGGACAAAGTGGCAACTGAGTTCATTCAGCATTTTGGTGAGTTAGATGTCATAGAAGAAATTGCTGCATTTGTGTCAAACCCATTTCTGCCCATTGATATAAAACAGGTGACAGCCAGATTCCGGCAAGTATTTGCTTTGCCAATTGGAGTTGACATGAAGCTACAAGCTAGATGAAGGGACAGTGACTTTTGTGGACTTGTCAGCGATAGAAGTATCCTCTCCTCGCTGCATGCTGACTGAGGGAGAGTGCTGACTTTGGATCCACTTATCTTTGTGAAATGGCGTTTTCACAAATGAAAATAATCAAAGAAAAAGTACAGGAGCTGCCTTTCTGCAATAGACGTCAGGCTGGCTGTGGGTGGCCTGACTGGAACAGTTTTGCCTTTAGGTTGCGTTGTACTATCTTGTCTTAAAAAGGTTGATGAACACTGGTCTGGGAGATCATACAACAGGATTTCCGCGAATCCTTAAAAAGTCTTAAATTAGATTTTTGGAAAAGTAAAAAGTCTTTAATTTTATTTGTGATAGTCTTACATTTTTATGGCACTTTGACTGGGATACTGTCTGAATATATTCTCATTTTTTTCTGTATATTTGCTTGTTCACATGACAATTCACAGCATTTCCTCATGCGCAGGCTGTCAAACAGTAGACTAGTCCCTTAATTACAGCCGGCAGTTTTTTTTTCTTATTGTGGATTTAATGACATAGTTGACTAACAGGAGGCAGCCCGCTTTTCAGTACATTTTAGCAGTACTCGCCTCCATTTCGAATCCCCAAACCCCTGTGCTGGCCACTGTTTTGGGTTCTGTTGTTTTCTGTTGCCCCAAATATCGTTTTGTTCAGGAGTTCAGGGTCAAGGAAAAATTTGATATTTGCGAGAGAATCTGTAACAAATAGGCAAATTAAACACTCCTGATCCTGTCCCACACCCTGTCAAAATGGTTGTATTTCCTCAGTGGGAGCAGAATAGAGCAGCAACCACTTATAAGTGTCTGATTTTTGTCAACAGTTCCCCAACAAGCTCTTATCCACTGGTGAGGCACCTCCCTAATGGCCAGACAGTCCCTCTTCTTCCTAGTCCTGTGCAGATGACCTCAGTCATATCTGTGAGTAATAAAATGTATTTATACTTTAATTTAAGTGATACTTTTATTTTTTATAAGTGTATTTATCATGTCTTTTTTCTGCCTTTGTCTATGTGTTTTGATGTTAAGCTTGCAAGGCCATTGAACTCAGTGCCTAACATCCCTGGAATACCAGGACCTCCATTGGGCGGGGCCAGCAGCGGGTCATCCTCGCCGTCTGGGTATAGTCTGCACTCTGAGACAAAGATGGTGAGATTCTCACTCTTGCTAGCACCATTGTGTTTCGGCTTCAGACTGACTGGACTAGCTTTTTACACTGTAAATGTGACTTATTAGATGTCATCAAATCTACATTTGTGTTTCTTGACAGCTTATTTTTAGAGCCTGACATTAAACCCCTTTCATGGAGTTTTGTCTGTGTATTATTGTATTATTGTAGCGACTGAAGGCAGCTCTGACTCATCAGGGCCCAGGAGCACAAGATGGGGCTGGTGGGGGGGCAGGATCCATCCCTGCTGTCCCCCAGCGGCAAGAACACAGCCAGCAGTTCTCTCAAAACGCTGATGCACCATCACCTGCCCAACCCCAGGTAGCCCCCCCCCCCCCCATATATTCTCTTTACCAGAAACAGTTGGAAAAATACTGTACCTACAGTGTATAAGAAACCCTTGACGGACATTAGCATCCAACATCACCTTTCAAAAAAGATACTCGTACATTCTCCAAATGAGTGTATCAGTAACATTTCTTAATCATTGTCATCATGGTAACACATTAATGAATAAGGCGTATTATTTATTTTAACATATAAACTTTATACGGGAACACAAATACAAGTGATAGAGATGTGATAAAGAAGGATTCACAAACAAAGGAAAAAAAGGGCCCAGCACCAAAAAAAAAAAAAAAACTGCCCACAAACTTGAATGCCAACCACGAAATTCACCTTGAACCTCATTTTTCCCCAAGAAATCTTCATGTGTGTCCACACCATCATGCACACAAGCTTTGTAAACACTTGCACAAAACTTTTTTCAGGTTGAGCTGCAAGTGTGAATGCAAACGGCTAAATGTTTCACTCAGACTTTATCCAGAGTTTGTCCTGCCAGCCCCGTTTTTTATCTGCATGAAGTCCAAGTGAGCTGGTGTGAGACGGCAGCAGGATATAGTCAGGAGAATTCACCACGAATGGATGAGAGAGGGTGGTTAAGTTTATTCCCTGCAATCAATGAACTACCATAGACTGTATGCACATGACCGGTTGCGATCCCAGTGCACATAATTAAACTGCTGCATTATGTTTTATGTTTGCCCATATGTTCTTCTCTGCTCTTTTTTTGATATTGTGATTTACACATAGCATTGATCTGTCATATCTTGCTACCAGCGTCTCCTCTACCCAATCGCCCGTCCATCAGAGATAGTATGATGTATATGTTAACCACCTCAGAAAGATTTCAGGGGAAATCTGCCTGAAATCCTCTAGACATTTTTGTGAGTGGAGTGCACATTCAAATCAATTGCGTTTGAAAATGTCCACACACACATTCAAATTCTCTCCACCATTTCTCTTTACCCTCTCTGGGACACCTATAATGTTTGTTTGTCGGTGCGACATCTCAGATGACCTCCAATATTGGCTAGTTTTAGTTTTTATTGGGCGCTCTGCGAACTGGTTTATGTGGTCTCTCCGGTTGTGAAATTAAAGTCTGGCTGCTACAATGAAACCCGTTGTTGTAAGCCCAGGCTGTGCCTTCATGGAAAAGGGTTGTTAACCATCCTTAAGGTTGTTCAATACCACCTTGTGTCCTGTTGAGTTACACTTTTAAATTTACTGGGGTTCTTTGTTGGTCTCTGTTCGAAGCTGTGTGTGCATTTAGCAAGTCATGCACATATGCAGTCATTTCAAACGTTTTTTTGCCACATTAAGATTTTTAAGTGGGGAGAACCACAACTTGAATCTTCTCTGTTTTTCTATAATTCCTTATGTAAAACTCTTGCTACATGCATGTAACCCTTTTCCTAATTCCCCAGGTGTCCCCAGCTCAGCCGACAGGAGGCAGGCGGCGGCGAGCGACAGAGATGGATCCGGATGAAAGGAGGCAGCGTTTTCTTGAGAGAAACCGTGCAGCCGCCTCACGCTGCAGGCAGAAACGAAAGGTCTGGGTAAACTCTTTGGAAAAGAAGGCTGACGATCTCGCCAACATGAATGTCTCCCTTTCAGTAAGTCTTCCATTTCCATGTTCACCATTAAAAAATGATCAGGGAGGGACATGCTGGGAATAATTTGTGTTCTGTATTGTTTTGTCATCATCAGAATGAAGTCTCCCTGCTGAGGAATGAGGTGGCACAGTTAAAACAGCTCCTCCTGGCCCACAAAGACTGCCCTGTGACTATCATGCAGAAAAAGGCAGCTTTCTTAGGTAAGGTCATGAACTGACTCTTCCTGCACTGTTCCACCTGTTCTGTCAGGATCCATCCATCACCTCATCCATCTAATACGTTCTTCTACTCGCTCACCTCTCTTAAGGGTGAATGATTCTTTCTCTGTCCTTAGCTGCAGGAGGAGAAGAAACCTCCAGGGATGCTCCCACCGAACCCACCGGCTCCCCAGCTGCAGTCATTCAGCACGGGCCGACACCCCCTGCCTCCGCCCCCAGTCCAGGGGCCACCATCAACGGCATGAGTGTCCGTGCTGCAGAGGCAGTCGCTATGTCGGTCTTGGCCGGCATGGGATCTGGCCAGCCAGGAGGGATTGTCATGGTAACACAGCCACAGTCGACTTCGAGATGATGTGCTGATGCAGGTGGAAAGTGTGAACTTGAGTGACCAGACTGGTGCAAAGTGATTGAAAAGAGGAACCCACCCCAGACTAAGATTCCCTCCTCCCATACACAGGCAGTGATAATCACACACAGACACTGCACAGTGCCTCCGTCAACCCTCCAGTCCGCCAGGCTCCCTGCCCAGAGAATCTTAGTCACTCTGTATGTACATATGAATTACACAGCGGAAAACAACTCTGCAGGCTCTGGGGTCATTTCTTGTTAAGTTATGACGGTTGAGAAATGTTTTTCAAGGTATGATACGTATGAATGGAAAATCTTAGTCAGATTTATCCGATTTATTTTCATTTCACCTGAAAATGCAGCTTCAGTCCGACTTTTTCCCACACGCTGGCTGTGATGAGGTTTGTTGCTTTCCAGGCTGACAATTTTATTTGTATTTTGCAGTTGTAAAAAAAAATGTCATGCCTGATACTGGTCGTTCACGTAATGTTCTGCTGATGTAGTGAAAGTATAGTGAGAGATTGGTTCGGAAGATTGCAGTAAAAAGCCACCTGGAAACCGTTTCTAATGCATCTTTTTTTGCTTATTTTTCAAACTGTCCTTTAGTTTTCTCACATGACGGCTTGGTCAGCTGAGTGTTTTAACAAACCAAATTCTAGATATGTGCACAGTTTACCCTGTGAGTTTGTGCCTGACTTTTTTACCACCATTTTTTAAGCCATTTGGAGTGGATGTCATTACATTAATCATGTATGTATAGAACCCTATTGACTGCATGGATTACTCAAGGCTGAAATATACCACTGTGTGTTCGTGCTTCATCATACTATCACTGTTTATTGATCTGCTTTCCTCCTGTTTTAGAACATGAAATTATAAATGCAAGAATTGTCCTTGTTCTGTAAGGATTCCATCCTCAGTCCTAATGTAAAACACTTGAAATGATTAGCTTGAGAAGGCTTTTAAATGATAATCAAACATACGAGATTTGAAATCCTTTACCCTGGTATTTACGTTGAGGAAATAGTAGTGCAATATATTTTTCTCTGTTTCTGAATTTCAATGTTCTTGCATTTAGCTGATGTGTAGCCCGGAGATGAGAGCGGTTTGGTCTGTTTAAGTCGAAAGCTAAAGTTATGTGGAGACCAGAGAAATGTGAAGAGAATTCTTGAATGAATTAAAGATCAGTGATTAGTGCACATCTGTATAAAATACCAGATGTCCTAGTCTTGGGTGCTTTCCAACATTTGAAAAGCTGTCTTGTTTCATGAAGTAGACTTGTGTAAGGTGCTTCTTTTAAAATTGGAGTTTTTAAACTGCACATTATTTTTACCGCATTGTACTTTCAATACTATCGTGTTGTTTTTTTCCCTTTGTCACTTTGTGTTTTTTTTTTGTTTTTTTTTTAAATAACGTGGTCGTTCTAAGATGTTATTTTGTCTCTTTGTGCATGTAAGGATTGTTTCTCCATCATGTGACAGTATGTCCTTTTGATTTTGTTTTCGAGAAAAGGTATCTCTTTACTTTTCTGAGGAGATTTAACCACATGACAAAAATGTATCGAAGATCACTGTACGGAGTGTTTGTCAAAAACTCAGGCTTCAAGATGGTAAAAAAAACTACTTGTGTATTGTCTCAACTAATGGATACGTTGTGTCTTGGGCAAATAATAAAGTAAATTAATGTAAAAGAAAAGCCTTTGAACCTCTAAACATGTGCTTACTGTATTCTTATAATATTACAGCCATAGAGCCAATCATCTTTTTTACTGAAAATGAATACCCAGTGATCTTTATTATAATCCCTACATCTTTTAACCCCTGTGCCCTCCTTGGCCATGCTGTGGTCATTTGAGTTTTATTTTCTGCCTTAATTTTGGCTGTGAGCATTCCCTAGCCTTCATAATACGTAGAGATGGGTAGTTTTTTTTTATTGAAGTTTGGATTTCTCATGAACTGTGATTACACTCTTCTACGCTGTGATTAAAAAAAACAAAAAAAACAGTTGAATCCCCTTTGAGAAAAATCTGACCTTGAAAAAACCCCATAATGTATTAAACTCATTTTTGTGGGTTATCATCATCAGACTGGGATAATAATAATCTTAATATCTGTTAGTATGTTGAAAATGATTCATGTCGGGTATTTTTTAACAAATGCAAATTAGGGGTATATGATACAAACTGACATGTAAAGGGTTAATCTTTAAGTTTATAATTACCAAAATCAATATAAAATGTTTTAGTAAAAGCTTAGAACAATAGCATTCAGCTAGCCTACTACTAGTATTTGATATTTACGTTTGAGAATCAATGAGAGGCTACAACATGAATGGAATAAGTCATTCACTATAGACATTAATGCTTATCTTGATCATCACATTCTCATAACCCTCAGGTAATATTTACAGTCTGTGGGTAAAACTCAATGAATGTTTTACTCTAAAAATGTAGCCTATACGGCCAGTCCACCTGAGGAAGGGGACGCTTGGCAGGTGAGTTGGATCTTTAATAGGAATGCTGTGAAAACACAACAGCAGAGGGAGCAGAGAGACTGCTTCACTCCACCATCCAGTCACAGCAATTACCATCAGCTGTGGTCACGTGACTCACAGACTCCTCTGGCGAGTTGTTCCCATCTCCAGCAGTCATGGCGGTGTCACGGACTCGCGAAGATGGAGTAAACACCACTACTGCAACAACATCTACATCTTGATATATATGTTTTAAACTGTTTGAATCTTATCTTCATGGTGGACTGTACTCGCTGTCATCCGAGCTATCACAAACATCCCGCTGGCTGCTGCTTCTGCTGCTGCTGCTGCTGCTGCTGCGCTTCCAACGATGGCCGACCGCGGCGTTGATCTGTCGGCTCTGCCTAAAGAGGTCAGGGACCAGCTGGCGGAGTTGGAGCTGGAGCTATCTGAAGGTAATGTTTTTTCATAATAACACAGGGCTGTAATAGTTTAGGCTGTGAAGAATTCAAACAAAACTTGAGCGTGGCTCTTGTGTGTGTTTATTTGAAAACAAACGCAGCTTTCGTCCTGTGTCAGCTGGGTAAGAGCAGTGCTGCAGTAGATCCGGGCACGACTATAACAAACGATAAAAACACACTGACCTCCTTTTTTCCTGCTGGCATTTCTCCATCGAGTATCAAGGTTGCCTTTACTTTAGGCCTTTGTAGAAGTAGCCTACTTATTAGTTTAAATTGCTTTGGAAAAAAAACTATGTCAATGTTAAAGTCTGTCGTAGCTTAGTCTATTTTCCTGTGGGCAATTTACTTGTTTTAATCCATAGTGTATTTCCTCATAGATGTCATATAGCCTACTACTCATCATCTCTTCTAGACAAGCAAATACACTCTAGTCGAGGAAAATGGGTCAAGTTTGTCATCCTTTAGGCTTTGTGTGTGTCTGTGAGAGTGTGCAGCCTCAGACATCACTGGACACTGAATGATGCTGTGGCCCGTCCTCAGCTGTGCTGCTGCTTTATAGAGCCAAAACCCTGAAACTGCATCAGATATGTTTGTTTTATAAGAATGACTGTTGGAAATGGAATATGGTGCTGGATGTTATGCAAGTCTCCTCCTCACATTGTGAATCACAGTGCAGCAGCCTGATTGGTGCCAAGCAGTTCCCAGGTGCCCGGGGGTGGATGAGTAATGTTGTGTTTTTCACATGGAGAACAAATCAGAGGTGATATACAGACCTATAATGATGCACTACATGCATAAACACAGATACCTGGAAGTGTCATGCCCATGTTGGATGACAGGTGAAACTGAAGAAACACAGGCAGAAACCACCATTATGCTGCACTTGTTTAAGTTACTAAGTTCGAGCATGCAGCAGTAGCAAATATAGACAATGAATCTGACACGACAAGCGTTTGATGATTTGAATAGACAAACTGACTGTCAGGCTGTATGTAGATCTCTTTGATTTCCCCCGTCGTTCATCATATTGTCATTTATTAGTCAAATGCACAGAGTGGAGCTGTGATATGCTGTGACCTGAGCTGCGGTGGATTGGAGTGTGTGCTCTGGTTTAATAATAGACACTAATTAACTGTGCGATAATGCAGCTGGATAATAGAGGAGGGGGTGTTCACACTTTGTGTTCAACTCACTTAACATAGGGGTTGATGCAATGGATGATGGGAAGTTGATGTGTAATCATTTGTACAATATGTACTTAAATATAGTAAATCATTGTATATTAATTACAACACATAGATGTATGGCAGATCTTGTGAATTTATTTGTTTAGACTGTCAAGTCTGTCTCAAGTTTTCAAATACAATTTTTATGTAAAGTAACAAATAACCAATCTGCTAAGATTGTTTGCTTTAACTGGATTATTAAAAATAGAGCAATGTGATTTTGTTTAAACATAGAAAATTGAGCTGCAACATATTATTATTTACAAGTCTCTCTTATTCTGTATGAGGGACAAAAAAATGACTAAAGTATAAATAAATGAATAAATAAATAAATGTTGGGAGAAATGCATACAATAATGTATAAATAAATGCATCAATAAATATATAAATAAATATATTCATATATTTATTTATGTATTTCTCTGTCCATGTTGTACAAGGAAAAGTAAATATGTAAATTAAGTGGGCCGTCCTAACATTACTGAAGTAGGATTGGTCAATTTTGAAAAGCAGACAGAAGCAAATTTACATATATACTTTTCCTCTTACAACCTGGACACAGAAATAAATAGATGTGTAAATGTAAAAATACGGAAATAAATTAATAACTCAATTAATGTGGAAATGTATGCATTGATACATATATAACTGTAGAAATACGCTAATAAATGAATAAATACATACATACAAAAATATATAAATAGCCTTTTTCATTAACAAAGTGTATTTATTATTTATTCGTTGATGTATTGTTTTCAGCATTTATATATTTATTGATGCATTTATTTATTTATTTATATATTGTTGTATGCATTTCTCCCAACATTTATTTATTTATACTTAAGTCATTTTTTGTCCCTCATAATTCTGTTGATTTTTCTCAATATGGTGAAAAAACATCAAACCAAAGTCCCTAAAGGTTAGCTCTTCAATTTGCATTTAAAAACACTTGTTAAGGTCTTTCGATCAGTTTGTTGTTTGATTATTTTAACAAAACAAATTAGAAACCTGTCATCAAATCCAAGTGAGGTCCTAAGTAAATCACTTCATGTCAGGTCTTTAGGTAATTGACTCAAATCAGGATTCAAGTCATGTGACCTCAGTGTCCTGCTCTTGTATTGACAGTCTTCAGGGTTTCTGCTGTGTCACAGTTTGTGTCGATCAGACTGCAGCAGCTGAAGTCCAGTCAGAGTGTCCTGTGTCAGTGTTATAAAGCTTAACTGTGAGTGAGTGAGTAGAAAGGTGATATCCCCGCAGTGACTGACCCTCTGCTGGGGACTTGGCCTCAGAGGATGAATGCTCTATCAGTTGTAACCTTAGATCAGAGATGACTCTTTTAGGAATAATAAAGCTCACTGCTATCCAGATGCTACGCTTATGCCCGCTTCTGAGGTGCATTTGCAGTCTGCTCAACAACAGTCTGCCTGCACACCGCAAACAGGCGACAGCAGTTGGTCGCCCAATGAGTATAAAACTTTCTCATAGATATCTTTTACACAGCAACAATCACCCCATTGTTGTCCTGATACATGGGACTCCCCGAGCAACAAACTGCAAAATGCAAGAAATGCTGAAAATATGCATCGGCAGCTTATTTTAGTTGTGGTTTTCAGTATGTGCGTGTGAGTGTATTTGTCTGTATTTGTGTGAGCATGTGTGTATGTGGGAAAGGGAATGAGAGAAACTCCGCCTACTTTAACCTACTTGACTGTAAGGGCACAAAGAAAGCCATTGAAGGGATCAAAGACTGAGTAATTGAGCTGGACTGGAATTTAGAGCACTAAACCACAACTGTTTAATCTGCTCAGTGCAGGAGTGTGTGGGCACTGTAGTGTCTGGGCTCTTTTTTGTGTGTTGTGTGTGTGTGTGTGTGTGTGTGTGTGTTAATATTAAAATGACCAGAGAAAGAGAGTGAAAGGGACCCCAGTAGATCGTCTTTTTACGGATACTGTCAAGCAGTCGATATAAATACAAAATTGTCTTGTTTAATCTGTTTGCCATCTTTACACTCGACTGTCTTTATGTGTAAGATCTCATAACCTAAAATGCAGTATTTTACTTATGGAAAAGCCTCTAAACAAATGATATGTTGCTAAAGATGGACTTCCAAGATCGTAAATCACTTGCTCAAGTGCCTTACATTACGTCAATATCAGTGTAGCCACCTGCACTTTTTTAACAGTAGGCAGTTTAAGGTCTGAATCTCTGCCAAAACTTGGTGCATAATGCTAACAATAACAACGTGCTAACGTGCTTCTTTTTTTAGCAGGTGTCATTACACCTGCTAAAAAAAAGAAGCACGTTAGCTTTGTTACAATGCTCATAATTGTATTTCAGCGTTTTAAGATTTACTTTTATTGATCCCCGCAAGGGGAAATTTCAGTTTTTACACTCTGTAGTCATGCAACACACACATAGGCTGAAGTATATACACACATGCACACAAACAGGATCCTATGGACATGCACTAATGGAGAGATGTCAGAGTGACGGAGCGCTCCTGAGCTGGTGGTGGGGAGGGGGTTTGGAGACTTGCTCAAGGGCACCTCGGCAGTGCTCGGGAGGTGATCTGGCACCTCTCCAGCTACCAGACCAACTTCCATACTTGGTCTGCACCGGGACTTGAACCGGCAACCCTCCGGTTCCCAACCCAAGTCCCTACAGACTGAGATACTGCCGCCCACAATATTGAGCTAGGAGACCAAGGCATGCTAACGTTTTGCTAATAAGCAAGGAACACAAAAAACATCTGGCGCTGACCATTGCCTCACCTCCTGTCTGCGTTTTCACAGGGGAGATGCACGTTTTCATCTCAGCAGCCTGCTTCATACTGAGAGAGCAAGAGAGAGAAGTGACAGATTATGGTCCTGCCTGTGACTCTCAATCTAGGTCACAGAGCATCAGGGGGCAACACGCCTGGCTCATTTAGCCTGTGAGTCACACAGGGCCAAGCATGCTGCTGGGGATCTCTCCCTCTCCCATCCACCATGACACCACAACTGTCACATTACTTTTACCACTATTACCTTTATTTACGTTTAAATGCCTCAGAGCAAAAACAATGCATAAGCTTCTCTTATCCTAGCCCATGTGTTTCTCATGATGTTTCCAAATATATAAAATCATACATTATCATGTAACAGATTTACACTGATGTTTATCTTGTAAACTCAAAGAGGAGGTCACAGGACATTTTTTTGGAACCATTGTCTCATGTGGATTAGTTTTATACTTTATAAAGTTAAATTTTTGGGGCGGATTTTTGCTTCATTTGATTGGACAGTTGAAGAGAGACAGGAAACTTTGGGAGGAGAGAGTGGGGGGTGATTTGAACCTGCGACTGCTGCAGTCTCTGTTCACATAGCACATGTCATACCCACTTGGCTATCAGGCACCCTTAGATTTATCCTTGTGCACTAGTGACTATTTATGGCAACTGGATTGTGTAAGTTGGATCTATAAAAACAGTCAGTTGATTGATCAATATAAAATTAAGTTGATGTTTTTTCATAAACTCATGTTATAAACTCAAAATTGTTCAGTGTTTAAAATTTCTAACAACAAACCTTTCGGCCTTTCAATTGTGCAGATTTGAGGCCCTTAATCTTAAATGTGATAGAGAGATTTAAACTGGAAAAAAAATCAGAAAAAGAAACCGTGTTACATCTCGAAATGGTAAACAACTTTTGCAACATAGTCTTTATTACATTCTTGCCAAATAGCACATCATTCCATAGAAAATGTTCTAATTTAAATTTCTGGCTTTGT